AAGGTGTGAATTAATTTGTTCAATATTTTTTTGTATTGTGAATTGTAAGGTATTATTTATAATTATTTTAAAATTTTATTAATATTTTTTATTAAATTTCAAATTTATGAAAATTATGATTATTAATTATTAATTATAACATAACATAAATATTTCAAATACAGCTTTTTGAATTTTTAATTAATCATGTATTTTAGTTAATTTATTTAATTAAATTTGAATAGAAAATATATGCTTCAATTATAGATTTATCATTCATCATTATATTATATTCATTTTTATTTATTTATATTCATATTTATTATATTCATTATATTATTAAAATTTATAAAAAATTTTTTATCGATTTATTTATTGATTTATTGATAATTATCTATTACTTTTAAAGTAATCTTAAATATATTAGTTTTAAATTAAAAAATATTTTTTACGAAGATTCATTCAACCACGTTGCTATTAATGTGTTGATATTGATTTTCAAATTTTATTTGTTTTAATTGTATTTATTTTTTTTTTATGTAATACTATAAATCCTAACAGTTCTTTTTGTATGTATGACAATTGAAATTCGTTCTTGAAATTATTATTTTTAAATATTATAATCTTTTGTTCCTTGAATAATATTTAATATTTAACCTTGAATTATCCTTAATGTTTTAAATATAAACATGCTCTAATTATAAATTTTTTTTTAAATTATATTTTTTAAGTTATATTTTATAATATTTGACTATATTTTTGGAAATTAATATTTATTCGGACATATTTTTATATAGCATATTTTTTAAATAAAAATATTTTTCTCATCAATATTGTATGAAATAAAGAATTGTTTTTCCTGTTATTAATATTGTATTTATAAAAAATTTTTTTTTATTGAACATAATAGTTTTAAAAAAAAAGAAAACATTCTTAATATATTATAATATTACAATTAATTTTTTAAATAAATTTTTCCTTTTTTAAATAAATTGTTATTTTTTTATTGTAAAAAATTACATATAATTTCAATAAAAAATTGTTAAGATTCTAAATCAATTATGGCTGATCGGGGCCGGGGTAGAAGTCGAGGACGAGGAAGAGGTCAAGATGATAGAAAACAAGCTCCTGGACAACAACAACAACAACAACAACAACCTCCACAGCAACCTCAAGCAAGTGCTTGGGCTCGTAGACCTGGTCCTCCTCAGCCACAACCAGGACCATCTTCACAAACACCATATTCAAGATCTTCAGCACCAGCACAGGTAATTTATGAAACATAATTTTAATTTTATTTAATATGTTGTATGATATGTATGGTATTTTTTTGTTTTTATATCTTTTTGTTTTCTTTGTTATTTCTTCAGAAGTAAGAAAAAAAAGTATGTATTTACTTTTCTTTAAAAATATAAAAAAATTATTTATGTGTGTGTATGTTTGAAGTATGTATTTAAAGTCTATATTAGAAATATAGAAATGTAAAAAAAAAATTGAAACTCATTTTGTTTTTTTGTGTAGAGCACAATTTATCCAAAGGTAAAAGGAATAGATAAGGTTAGTGTTTGTGTATTATTGTTAAATACATTGTTACATTTTGAATAATATTATTTCTTTGTAAAAATAAACTGTCCCAACAATATAGTCTTTTATTACATAGTATTTGTAATTTAAATTTATTTATAAATATTATTAATTTAGGAATGTGAAAAATGTATATCTTTTTTTGTTTTTATATTATATCTTCTATTTTGATCTATATTATTGGATTGTTTGGAAAATAATTTCGTTTTTTCATGTTTTTGTTTTGAAAAAAAAAAACGAAATTACTTTCCGAACAATCTATCATAATGAAATTTTAAATTGTTATTTTATTATTAAGTATTTTTCATTTCAATATAGAGTGCTGGAAGAGCCACTCAAAGATTAGGCCCTAAAGGAGATGGTGGTCCAGGGCATAAAGAAGAAAGTGCTCCTGAAGCAATGGAAGGTGTATTTAACAAAGTTTTTTTTAAAATTACATTTCATTTATATTCATTTTATATTTATATCATTTGAGAGAATTATATGGTATAAATTTATTTTTATTTATGAATATTATATACATATACTTTATAGTTAGTGGGGAAGTAGCTGCTGGAGGAGGAGATGCAGCAGCACAGTTGGGAAGAGGTGCTATGCGAGGTAGACGTATGATACCATCAACTCCAGAAAATATACAAACTAGACCAGAGAATTTAATAACTAAACAAGGTTAATATATTTCGTGTATATATATATATATATATAAAACATAAAAAATATATATAACATAAATATTGACATTTTTAGGTACTACTGGAAGTAGTGTAATGCTACAAGCAAACTATTTTAAATTGCTTGCCACAACTGATTGGTGTTTATATCAATATCGAATTGATTTTGCACCGGATGAAGATCGCACTGCGGTTCGTAAAGGATTACTTAAACTTCATAAAGAAGCTTTAGGAGCATATGTTTTTGATGGAACTGTTATGTATTCTAGTAGACGTTTACAAGATGTAAGATACTTTTGATTACATCAAATTATATATATTATAACTATTTGATGAATTGTAAGATTACACAATAAAACTTCATTTTAGAAAATGGAAATTTGGTCTAGGAGGACATCAGATGATGCCACAATCAGAATTACCATACGTCTTGTTGGAGAAATGGAAAGAGTAGACCAACGTTATCTTCAATTTTTCAATATAATTATGCGAAAATGTTTAGCTCTATTAAATCTTCAGCTTGTAGGACGCGATTATTTTGATGCACATAGTAAAGTAAATAGACAAATAAATTCTTGTTATAATTCTTTAATGTTTGTATTTACTAATTGTTTAACATAATTAAAATATAGGTAGAAGTACGTGATTTTAGATTGGAACTTTGGCCTGGTTATCTCACATCTATAAGACAACATGAGAATAGTATTCTTATGTGTGCTGAAATCATACATAAAGTCATGCGTCAGCAAACTTTATTAGATATATTAAATGAATGTTACGATCATGATAAGAATGATTATAAGGTAAAGAATATTAATTATTAATAATTTTCTTTAAGCTTAATTATATTCATATTAAATATTATATATTTAGACTTTATTTGAAAATCAAGTTATTGGTTTAGTTGTACTTACTGATTACAACAATAATACATATCGTATATCAGATGTGGATTTTGATTCAAGTCCTAATTCAACTTTTCAATTAAGAACCGGTGAAAAAATAACTTATAGAGACTATTATAGAAATAAATATCAAATCCCTATTGATAACATCTCTCAACCAATGCTTGTAACGAGATTAAAACCAAGAGAACGTCGTGCTGGTCAAGCCGAATTAGTATATCTTGTTCCGGAACTTTGTCGTGCAACAGGTATAATTTTTTATTCAATATTTTTATAATTAATATGCTTAAATAAAATAAAATATTATTTAATTGTTTCATGATAAATATTTATATTTCAAAATGTTATTTTATGATAAATAATTCTTGCATAGGTTTAACTGATGCTATGAGAGACAATTTCCATTTAATGCGTACATTGGCAGAATATACACGTGTATCTCCCGCGGCACGTATAGATAAATTAATGGTCTTTAATAGGAGACTTCGCGATAAACCATCTATAGTAAAAGAATTAAATGAATGGAATTTACATCTTGATGAAAGACTAGTTGATGTACCAGCACGATTTTTACAACCAGAAAAAATTGTATTGGGAAGTGGACGAACGGTTTCTGCGGGCCAATTTGCCGATTGGACCCGTGAATTACATAATAAGCCATTGTATAACATTGCTCGATTGACTAATTGGGTAGTAATTTGCATGACTCGTATGAGACGCGATGTCGAGAGATTCATACAAACGCTTAAAGAATCTGCATCTGGAATGGGTTTTAGAATTGACAATCCAAGACTTTGGGATGTTGCTGATGATCGATCCAACACTTATTCTGATACTCTCGAAAGAGTAATGAGTACTAGTAATCCAGAATTAATCTTTTGTGTAGTATCGAATAATCGAGCCGATAGATATAGTGCAATAAAAAAGAAATGTACTCATGATAGACCAGTAGCTTCACAAGTTTTCCTTGCAAAAAATCTCTCGAATAAAGGTATAAGATCGATTGCTACAAAAGTAGCAATTCAATTAAATTGTAAATTGGGTGGTGCTCCATGGAGCGTTGAATTACCACCGATTAATTTAATGGTAGTTGGTTATGACGTATGTCATGATCCTGCTGATAAAAGCCGTGATTTTGGTGCAATGGTAGCATCATTGGATAGAAGTTTGACAAGATATTATAGTTCAGTAGCTGCTCATACTACAGGAGAAGAACTTTCAGACGAGTTTGGAGAAAGTCTCGAAAAAGCTGTGCTATGCTACAGACAAGTGAACAAAATTTTACCCTCACACATTGTGATATATCGTGATGGTGTAGGTGAGGGTCAGGTACCATATGTATATAAACATGAAGTAGATGATATAAGGGCCAAATTAAACAAACTTTATGGTGATCCTAGTACCATTAAATTGGCATTTGTAATAGTTACGAAACGAATTAATACTCGCTTATTCTATAATCAAAATAATCCTCCGCCTGGTACAGTGGTCGATGATGTTGTTACTAATCCATTAAGATACGATTTCTTTATTGTATCTCAAAGTGTACGACAGGGTACGGTAACACCATGCGCATACAATGTAATAGCTGATTCTACTGGTTGGAGAGCCGATCAGATGCAAAGAATGACTTACAAGTTATGTCATATGTATTATAATTGGTCTGGTACCGTTAGAGTACCTGCGCCTTGCCAATATGCTCACAAACTTGCTTTTTTGGTTGCACAGTTTGTGCGTCGTCCACCATCTTCAAGGATGCAGAGTTTATTATATTACTTGTAATCATTCCTTGTTCCTAATACACAAATTAAGATATATAGATTAAGTATAAAACGTATTTTATATATGCAAACTGTTTTTACAATTTTTTGTACTATGACAGATAATTTAGTTTTTGTTTTTTTTTCTTTTTTC